GCCGAGGCTGCAGGGAGCCCCTGTACCACTCCCCCTGCACCCCCCCTCCCCCCAACACACACCCTGCGGCCCTTGGGCCAGCGCCACCTTGGCTGGGTGCGTGGGGCTCCCGGGAGAAACGGGTGCTGCTGCGGGCCGAGTGGGAAGTGGGTGGGGGTGGCAAGCCCTTGGGACCCCTTTCCCCCAGCGGCCTCTTGGCCCTGCAGGGGAGCAGCACTGCCTCAGGGGGAGACCCCGGTTCCAGGCAGTCCCCGGGGGCCCTCTGCTGTTCGTGGGAGGGGGGCTACAGGACCTCCAGCACGTCTAGAATAAGCGCTGGGAAACTGCCCCGTCTCAGTCCCTGCGAAGGGCTGGGGCCTTCTGTGCACTCCTCGGCACCCCTCCAGGGCAGGCGGCTGCAGCTACCCTCCGTGTACAGGCGAGGAAACCGAGGCCCCAAAGACTAGGCCACCGTGCAGGCTGCAGAGCAGGGGAGCGGCAGGGCGGGCCTGAGGCCAGGCTCCGGAGCTGCGCTGCGCCGACCCGCCCGCCAGAGGGCGCCCCGTCCTGGGCCCGGGCAGCACCTGCGCCCCCACCCTGGCCTGAACAAGGCGAGCTACGGGCTCAGTTTAACATTAGTCTTTTATTATAACCATACGGAACCGGATCGTCTTGCCAAAGGATAAACCATTTGTGGAGTCGACGCGAGGTACAGCAGAGAGGGATGAGAACACGCGCGGCCCTGCGAGCAGAGCGAGGGTGACGAGGGTGACTCCAGCCTGTTCACGTGGCCTCGGATCCGCAACCTCGACAAAGAGAGCTTCGGAAAGCGGCACTGGGGACGCGCGAGGCCTGGGGCAGGCTGCGGGCCCCCGCCGTCCGGCCTCGCCTGGCCCTGCTGGGGCACACGTCGCTGGAGGAGAGCTGGACCCGCTGCGGGCCTGCGGGCGGCCCCTCCGCACCGGGGACAGAAGCCCCCACGTGCATGTTTGTTCTTCAGCGACCCCTGGGGGCAATTTGAAAGCAAAACCGTAAAATATAAACCAGACGGTAAATCCGGATCGCTAGGAGACGCGGTGCTGGACATCCGCGGCCCCGCCCCAGCAGCCCCGGTTGTAGGCCGCCGCGGAAACACGGGCGGGCCCGAAATTGTGGCCATGGGCAGGAGGCCACCTCTGCGGATAGTTCGGTAACACGAGCTGTCCAGAGCGTCATGGGACCCCCGGGCACGGCGTCGGGTCAGGCAGCGCGGTGCACGCGACTGTCCGGTGTGACCCGGGAGGAGAGCGTGAAGCCCCGGGCAGGATGGTGGGCTGCTCTAAGCTTCTCACCAGAACGATGTGTTTAACTGAGGGGTCCCACCCATTACCACGTCTGTTAGAGGGGAACAGAGGCTTCGTGTACTCAGGATTTAAAATGTGCAATTAAACATACATACCTGATAAAAAAATACAAAGAAACATTCTTTAATGGCACTGTAACTAATAAAAATGCAAACAATACTCAGCTACAAAGAATAAAAAAAGTCACTTGGAGAAAATTAGTAATGCCGTTTTCTCTGTGAACCCACGGCAATGGGCGGGAGCTGCCTGTGCCCCTCTGCCCTTGGGAGTGGCCCTCCTCTGCGGGGACGAGCTTGCTGGGGCCTGGAGACAACACCTGGAGGGAGTCGTCGGTTCTCGGGGGCACAGGATGCAGAGGACCCGCCCCAGCGTGCGGGCGAGGCTGCAGGAAACCAGCCTGGAGCCTTGGCACACGGTGGTGACAGGTGGCACGCAGCTAGGCCGCCTGCTCTCAGGACAAGGGAGGCTGGGGTGAGCAGACAGCGGCCCCACCACCAGGGGGCGGCCAGCTCTTGGTCCTTCCCAGCCTCCGTTCTAGGGCCCCGGCGGGGACAGTGCCCTTAGACAAAAACGGCAAGACGGTCCGCGCACCCACCGCAGCCCCCGCACGGAG